GATAAAGAGAGTGGGCAACCTCGTGTGTCTGGCCATTGCGTCAAGCGAAAAACATTCGTTAACTTTTTATGGCCAAGAGATCGTCACCTCGATGCGCGACAACTCAACGCCGTCACGACCTACAACAACTTGCAACCCACAACTATGGTGATCTGGGCCATGGCTGCCAAATGGGCGAGGGAGAACGACTTTTGGAGTTCAGAACGAAGTCTCTACTTTCATTCGATATGCATAGGAAAAGTTATAGGGAGCTCAAATACCCAAAAATGGTGCTCGTAGCGTGTGTATAGCGTGTGCTATGTGTCATTCAAATTGGTGTGGTGAGAACTGATACTGAACTTAGTATCAATGTATCAGTGTATCGACCAGCTGGTACGGCTCATAGCACACGCTGTGCGCGTGCTACGAGCCCCATTCTTGGGTATTTGAGTTCCCTGTAACTTTTTCTATGCATATCGAATGAAAGTGGAGACTTCGCCCCGAACTCCAAAAGTCGTTCTGCCTCGCCTGGCAGCCATGCCAGCTGTCCGGATAAAAATGCCGGATAAGATCGTCACCGCGTCCTGCCAGCAACCGACAATCCGAGCGCTCGGAGCCACCCACCATGCATGAACCTACCTCTTTGTGTCCTCGAGCCACAAGACATACTCACGCCACGAGACAAACTTAAATCAGTTTTATTCATCAACATTGAGTACATGCAAAATGTATAGTACGCTTTAACTTTAGAGAGCATCCAAGAGAGGAATTCCTGCCCGGAGTGCAAGTGGTGTGCTCCCATCGTTGCGCAGCGGTAGCACAAAAAGCCGCCAGATCTTTATGTCGAGCACGACCATATTTGCGCCGACGCGAAGCGTGAGGAGACCGACGAGCACGGCGGACGACCGATCGAGGTAGTAGACATTCTTGTACGTCCAATGCGTTTGCTCAAACAGAAATTTGGCGCCCGAGGTGAGGAAGAGCGATGCCATAGGGACTGACGTTGTTGTGCGGACGCCGCACTTGACCACGAGGTAGCAAATGCCGTGCGAGCCCAAGACGGTACCGACGAGGATCGCCATGCGCAAAAGACTCCCGATCTGGATGGATCCAGACGTGCACGCCGCTTGCGCGTCGACCTGCTCAGAGACACACGCAAGGTCGATCGAAGTGGTCGCTGTCACGGGTGCCAAGTTGGTCAGCAGCGCCGCCGCGACCCACACCAGGAGACCGTTGAGCATCGCATAATGCGTCGCGTATTGGCCAGTAAAGACGAGAAGAATGTCATTGACGATCGTAATCAGCCACGTGACTTCGTTGGCCGCCAATAATGTCTTGTACCACGGATCTCGAACAGTGACAAAGTAGCTTAAATAGCCCGAATTCTGCAACTGCAGTGTGGCTGTCGAGAGGACCACCATGGCGGTCACACTCCGAAGCAGCAAGAACGGCCGACCGACCCAGACAATACCACCCACGCGGCCGAGCTCGAGCATGTTCCAGCCTTCGAGGGCGCCGTGGCTGATCATTATGTAAACAGTCGCAAGCCCCGCAATCGCCATCATGACACCCGTGACGTAGAGGACGCCCGCTCGTAAATACCGCGCGATGTTGCTTGGGACTTGCCATGCCTGGGTGGCCTGTGAGAGCGGCGGTTGGTAGTCGGTGATGAGCGTCAGGCTTGCCGTGTCGCCTTGAAACGAAATGACTTCGCGAATACCCAGCACCCAGTCGTAGAGGTAAAGCCAAGCAAAAAACTCAAAGTTTGATTCGCTCGGGTCGAGGAGCTTGCGAGACTGCAGCTGGAGCACGGGCGTCGTCGCATTGTCGCGGAAAAAGAGCAAAAATGAAATGTCGAGCGCGCGCACCGTGTCGCGTATGTCGAGGATCGAAGCGCGGACCGCCTCTGATTGGGGCACGTAGGAATTGATGTAGGATACCGTCGACCGAAGGTACACGGCACACTGCAGGACGTACGCCACGTCGTGGGCGCACACGCGCGTCATGTTGGTGCTGCTGTCGAGCTGCGCCATGAGCGCACTCAAAACGTAGTGTTGCCGCGTAGGTTGGATGCGCGCCGTCGTGCCGGACGCCGAGAGACAAATAGCGTCGTACGAGACGATGGCGAAGAGCCCTGCGGTCATGAGCCGCGACGCTGTTATGTCGGGGCACAGCGGCGACCCGCCATAGGACGCCGGGTACGGCAGCGCCAGCCATGCCCCGGGCACGGGGTACGAAATATCCAGCGGTGTAATGTTGTAGTAGGCAGCTTGGACCGCTAAAGTGCCTGCCAGCGGTGCCCGTGTCAGCTCCAATAGCGTCGACATGAGCTGTTGCACTTTCGGTGGTGG